GGCAATCAAATAATATATAAAGAAAAATAATAAATACTCGAGTAAGGATATTGTTTTAATGCTGACCTGACAACATTCATTCTGTTGGTTACTTCATTATCAGTGTCATATATATAGAGCTGAGCAAACTTAGGAGTTGACCCTTCAGAAGGAAGTAAACTACCCATGAGATGGTAGTTTTGTCCGTGCAAACTGAAGATCGGTGGTCCAGATCCTTTATTGATATCTGTATTGATCTTGCCTCCCAACGAAGTAAAGCCGAACATACTGTTGTAGGACACACCATATATACTAGTTTTGCTCACGCCGTGCACGCACGGCGGTCTAACACCAAGTGTAAAACTACAGTGAAAATTTTTCATAAGTTGTTGCAGCTTCAATTCTAGCGTATGTTGCAGTTGTTCACATATATTGTGTCTTTTTTTTTTTGTTTTTATGGAAATATTTTAAGATTTTGCTCTTTTGAGACTAACACTTACGCCGTGCTTAAATCCGATCTAAAAATACACTGAAAATTTGTCATCAATTGTTGCAGCTCATATTTTGGCATATATTCAAATTGACATATATTATGTTTGTATTGTTTTTACGAAAATGTTTTAAGATTTTACTTTTTTGAGTGTCACAATCACAGACACGCACACGCAACTGTTCCCAATTTAGTTGATAATTAAGTAAAAATTTTGTGCGCTATAAATATATAAAATTAGTCATTAGCATGTTCAACCAAAAGATATAGAATCTAATTGGAAATTAAAATAGGCACTTCGATTAAAATATGCCCACACAGCCAAAAAAATTGCTCTGTATCGATCCCGATAACTTTATCAATTGCTTGGTATCGATCTTCAATAGCAGTTTCAGTTGCAAAGTGGCCCAACCCATCCTGTGAGGGTCACGAATTAAATAAGAATGCAAACTAATAAAAATAACTGTATAGTATATGAATGACGAAAGCATGACAAATGCGTATTTTACCTAGGATGTACTTTTTTGCATAGAAATTGTTCTCTAAAGACAGTGCCTGCAAGAAAATCCAATTAAAATTATAACAGATGTGCGAGAATAGTAGCAGGAAAATACAAAAGTAAAATATTCTACCATTCAAAATGTTCTTAATTGTACCATTCAGACTCTTTCCACATACTCTTCAAGTCAAATTCCTTCACTCAGCGAGTTTCATCTGCAAGTATTTTAAACTACATAGCATGATAATCCATCTCATGATCAGTTATATTTTATTTTATAGACATTTTATAAAATGACTCAACCACCTCAAGATTCCTACCTGTAGTTGTAGTGATTGAGGCACACATGACGCCGCATATACCTGCATACATATGGAATAGTCCGTTGAAGTACAAAATGTCATTTAACCCGAAGGTAATACAAAACACCACCAAGATTCATAAAATCACATATTTGCGTGTAGCTTCGACACTCTCAATGGCAACTTTATCATCTTTCTTTCTTTCTTTTCTTTTTGTTCTTCCTTTCATTTGTTCCCTTTTTTCAATTATAGACATCACACAGTTATATTCCAGGTCTTCATGCATGAGACCATTGAGACTTTCAACTTGGTGTTATCCGACAACTTCATATGCTTAAAGCTACTTATAACCCTCTCTCACCTAAGTCGAATGGAAGTACATAGAAGTTTATCAACAATAAATGCTGACATAAACCTTCAACCTAAATTACATCTTGTGACCAGAAATATTTTATTAGAAATATCTAAACAGAAATATCACTTACTTCAAGAATCAAATGCCAAAACAATCGTGATATGAAAATACAAATCCATTTGAGTCCATAACAGTCAGAGCTAAGCAACAACCGCATAAGAAATAAAATTCATCTTCAAACGCTACCAATAACGTCAATAAAAAATAGCACCAAAAGATAGCACATAAACACCTCACCCACTGCACACCAAAAGAAATTACCTCTGTCCAGCTTGAACTCAACCTAGTCAGTGAGGTCAAATGTCTCGGGCGAGACCTCAAATTCGCTATGGAGTATGGACCTGTACTGTAGCATGATCGCATGAATTTTCTTGTTTACCTCGGATTGCGGGTCTATGTAGTTGTGAGCCATGCCCTTTTCTGCGCCAACAAGCAAGAAAAATAAAAATTACTAAGCAAGAAAATTGTATTATTTGAAAACATGAAAAGGATTCTTAAGCTAACTAAAGATGGTAGATTTCCCCTGCCGATTTGTAGAACTTGTACATGCCCTCAACATATTCGATGACAGTCATATCATTATTCACATCCTCAGCATCTATATCTACAATTGGCTCCTGAGATTTTTTACTCATCCCACAAGAAACATATAAAAATTCAATATAACAAGAATGGGAAAGTGGGGAAAAAAATTCCTTCTGAAATTTTACTGCTTAAAGGAATCAATTAATGTTTTTTACCTTCATCCTTGCACTGACCCGTACACGACTGATACGCACCCGGGTACTAACCACCGCTCTGGGGAGAGAGCAGCGGTTGTGTGGATATAATAATTCAGTTCCGGTCTAACCGCCCGACAGGTCTCCCAATTTACTTTATCCTTTAAAAAAAATTACCCTCTTGCAGTTTATGTCAGTATTACCTTCTCATTAGGTGCTTTTTAAGAAAAATATGGTCCTGCGACTGTGTATATCTTGCAAAGAGGGAACTTAGTGTTCCATATTTCAAGTTGAGCTTATGTGTCGGTATTCTAACAGTAACGATGGGCAAGTGTAATAGTTACATTACTTAAAGAAGAACAACAACAAGCCATTCACAAATTATTCCTTCTATAGTTTTCAAATTAGTAAATTACTCATCAAAGAATTGGGAAATAGTGTAAAAAGAAAATTAAATTATAAAAGGAAACACCTGATGCATAATAAAAGACTTATGTATCTATAAAAGGATGTATGGTACAACTAATTATTAAAACATGAGAAATAGAAAGTGCAGGTATGTAAAGATTTGCATTATGCATTAATATAGATACATGTCTCAAATCCGGGGCTCAACAATCTACGTCCCATGAACTATCATATACAACAGGCACAAAATAAAGATAAATGATATGTTTGTCCACACACACTTCCACTTTTATACATATAACTTCTTGATTTCCTCAATCATAACACTTGACTGCCATTGCCTTTGAAAATTTATCAAAAGAAAAATAAAGTTTTATGTGACATTATGACACAAATAGCTACAGGTTCATCCACAAAAATGATAAAAAAAAAGTCTCAGATTCTTAATGATACAAGCAACATTGTCTCCTTTAGTCTATTATTACCCTATATAAACAATACATGGTGGTTAAACCAGAAGCACTCCTCGAAAACCATCATTCAAGATAAAAGTACTCACAACAACCTAAACACTTCCAAAATATATTTACCAGAACCTAACCAATTCAGGACATAAAAATGTTAACAACAAAATAGACTCACAAAATAATCATCATATACAATGAAGTTCTAGTTATAAAATGCATCATACAATCAAGGATTACCTTTCGACCCGTCTATGTTCCAACTCAAGATTTTTTCCAATCCAAACCCTTTTTCTCAAGCAAGACTTCTCTAGATGTAGCATTTCCAAAAGGATTCACTTTAGGTTTTTCCTTGACAACTCCTTCACCCCCCAAAGCCACAGGCAAGTCTGGCCTGCTCGAATGTTGGCTCTAGGGCGTGCTCAAATGCGAGCTCGTGGGCCGACTCCCACCACTGACCGAAAATTGCTTCTTACCTTCGATCACCAAATCCAGCTTTTTCGAATCCAAAAATATGATATAGCATGAGGAGAACAAAAACCAAGTACTCTAGAAATAGATCAACATACCAAAGAGCCTTAAAAATTGTTCGGCTCCATATATGCACAAAGGAGGAGGGTTATCAGCAATCACTTGTTTGTATTGCTCACGTTCTTCTTTGTACAAGAGCATTGTCGGCAAAATAACATTTGAGTCCGCTTATAATCTATACAATCGTCTCTACAATTCTTAATCAAAAGAAAAAAAAAATGTAGAATTGATTAAAAACGTGCTCCAAGTTAAAACACGTTATTCATGCAGACCAATGACATTATGACATTGTCAGTAGTTTATAAGTTCAAAAAATGTTTAAAGGACTAACAATTTTTCTAATATTTTGTTCCAATGTAATGTACTCTCTTTTCAGTTTCTGCAATTAAATAATTCAAGCATTAGCATATAATATGCAAATGCATAGAAAAAATGATCAGAACAAAAATGGGAAAGAGAAAGAAGAAATGGATAGAGAAAATAATATGTAGTTAAGTCACCTTTCATTTAGGAGGTAATGTGGACATCCATTTTCATGTCTCTTGTGTTCGGTTTTTTCGTAAGTCCACCAAAGGTATGCCATCACCCTCCATAGCCACGAGCCGCTTGAGTTGGGTCACGAGGTCGCCTCATACTATGATAATGGGCTTAGTCCACTTATCCATGTTGTACCCAAACAACAGGTGCATGTCGAGTACAATTATTTTATTACCCTTGATCTATGGCTTGAACGCTTGCACGAAATCGCAAATGAAATGTAAGGGGCCAGTAAGCTTGGAGCATCACAGACACTTCAGGAAAATTAATACCTATTTTAAATAAAATTAATACGTATTCAGAAAAGTTGAGTTCGTAAAAAGTGAACCACACAATTGTCCTCTAAGAGAATAGAACTTCGTTTTGAACGAAAAAGGTTATAAAGAGTGTTAATCGTCAAGAACTCAAGTGGCGGAACCTACCAATACCAAATCGCGAGTGGTCGATTATTGCCCGATTATCTGAGAGAGGTCGGCCCGATTATTGCCCGCTTGTTCAGTCTGTAATTGTAGACTCTCTCCATTATCAGCCCAATGTGACCTCACCACATTTAGACATAATCTACCAAAAAGAAAGAAAAAAAAAAAACATTTTTATTATACAAAAAGATAATTTTTGAGGTGGGTTTCACAGGATCTTACATATTTGGCCTGAGATTTCTCACAACGAAATTGTTGCTTTCCGTCGGCGGTTAGGAAAGTCGAAGGATCTTTGCCATTATTGCCATTTATTCCTAAGTAATTGTGAAGCTATAGCAAGTGAAAGTTATAAGTTTGAGAATTGGTAAAGTCAATTGAACAACAGTAAGATAGTCGCATAAAAGTAAACATCTATTTTTTTTTCTTCACAAGATTATATTTTTTACCCGGTTCTCTTTTTTCCGTTCAGCTCTGCTCCACTGGCCAACATGGTGGTCAGTACACAACAAATATCTTTTCATACAGAAACATACAACATAAGAAATAGAGATTCTAGAACTTAAAACCAAAAATAACAATCCAACAAAACAAAAGAGAATAACTTTTCGCACCTTGCAGTATATTATCACCCAAATCGAAGCCATTACTTCTGCACGTGCGACCACTTCTGCAACATCTACGTACAGAGAAAGCATCCTGGAGATACATTAACAAACTAAACTCTTTCCATCGCACATCCAAAACCATTTAAACCAAAACAACACAAGTCCTTTCAATTTGGATTGAGTAGCAGATAATTTTTCCAGGAAAATAAATCCTCAAAATTTGCGAACTAACCTGAAAGCCAAATGAATACATCAAGAAGCCAAACATGTCCAACGCTCTTGAAGCCGATATAGGAAAAGTTTCAGGCAACTTAGGAAAGCCCCTGAAATACTTCAATGAAGAAATTGCAGCTCCAACCTGATGTACAAATAGAAGTTGACCATTAAAGGAACAAGATAAGAAAAATATTACATTAGAAATTGAGCTCGATCGTCTCAGGGAAAGAAACAATAGGATTAGTTATAGTAGGAGTATCCAAAGGAATTATGTTATAGGGAGCTAAACTGATGTAGGGGAAGCGTGAACGAATGGGACGATAAGAGGAGACAAGGAGATACTCTCTCCAAAACACGGGATACTCTCCCAAAAGAAAACACGATATCTTATTTCATTCTCAAATTCAACTGATCCATTATTCCATCAAACACTAATAATAAATAGAACTCCTAACTTGATAAACAAGAAATAAATATTCTTCTAATCAAGATAGAAGATTAT